GAAGACCATTAGCGCTATGGAAGCCGAATTAGGCCTCAATCGCGCTGCACTGAGACTCACCAACGACATGATGGAGGAAAAAGAAGAAGAGCTTGCCCAGATCACCGAGAGGCATTCCGCGACTGAACTATACGTTGAGGAGCTCCGTACCCGCCTGGCGAAGCTTACAGAACGGGAAGCATCGACTGAGGTTTGCGATGGCTTCGTATCAAATCAAAGCACATTTCTAATCAAATTTAACGCAGGCTTACGTCCGTGACCTTGAGGAGAAAATGAAGTCTTGTGATGAAACATCTTTGTCATCGAACGAGTCGCTGACTGACCTGAAGCGCGAGGTCTCCCGTTATAAAGAGGCCGAATCGCACTCAGCCTCGTACATAGCTGACCTCGAAGCTCGCCTCGCCCGCTCCGACGAATCGGTGCTAACCTTGCAGCAGACGATTGAGCGACTCGAAAATGACTGTGAACGTCGAAGAGAGGAGGTGGAGGCTCTGACAACTCGTTTGGAGAATCTCAGTCAGGATGGTGCTAGTTGGCGGACCGACCTCGAGGAAAGGGAGAGGAAGGTTAAAGAACTAGAGCAGAAGATGGAAGCCTGGGAGCGGAAGAGGAAGGAAGCTAACGAGAATCGCATTCGGCTTGGTGACGTGGTTGGTGAAGTTGAGCTGGCGAAACGTAGCCTCGAGTCTTTGAACGGCGGGAGCACCAAAGTCAATTCTCCTAGTGCCTCCGGTGCCAGCACGCCTGCCACCATGGACCTTTCCATCGAGAATCAATTGGTCACGCTGCGGCAAACTCACGCCGCGACGCTCACAGACCTTTCATCTGTTTCCAAGAAGTACCAGGACGCCCTTCAGGAGATTGCTGATCTGGCTGCTCAAATTCAGGAGGCTAAACTCAGCAATCCGACGATCCCGGAGACTGCGGCCGTTGATAAAGTGGAACCCCCGCTGTTCCGTCGTCGAATGACGTCCTCTAAGAGTCGAGACTCTCTCGCTGATCCTCCATACGATGCAGCTGGTCGACGTCTTTTTTTCAGGCAAGCGGCCTCCGTAGAGTCTCTTCATGGAAGGTATGTTTCGAATAATCTCCGTTTTGCCTCGAGTTTGATTTTTTCCTAGATCATTACCTCAGTCTTTGCCGCAATCCCTTTCCCTTTCGCAGGAGCTCTCATCAGCGAGATCTCGAGAGGCTTCGGTATCGAGCCACGGAAGTAGTGGCTCCGTCTCGCATTCTCCATCACACCGTCCGAACCTGTCCATCTCACTTTCCAACATTAGCGGCGCCACCACTCCCAGTGAACAGCGCTCTGCAGTGAGCATGGAGAAGGAGATTATGCGCTTGCAAGAGGTTCTCAGGGAGCGTGAAGCTGAAATTAGCGCTCTTGAGTCCTCATTGAAGGAAAAGGCGCAAGCAACGCCCACTCCGTCTGAATCGCATGCTATCCAGTCTACAGAGGTCGACGATTTGACACATCTTTCGCCCAAGACGATCCAAAAGTTCGATGCCGTTCGAAAGAGCATGAGGCTACATCACGATCTCATCCCTGTTGTCGATGGCGATGCTCCTGATAACGATGTCGACGAATCGCTTGACAGATTAAATGAGCTTATGCTGTATGTTCATAGTTTGTGTCCTATTCTGTTTTCTGATTCCTCATCCATTGTCCAGGTCGATGGCTCAGAAGGAGTCTCAGCACAAAGAACTCGTTGACTCTCTTCATGGTCAACTTGCTCAGGTGCAACGTGCGCACGATGAGTTGACCACTCTTTCTAGGGATCAGGTAGGCAGAAACTTCTCGATCATCATGCCTATCAGACACTGATGGTACACAGGCACTGAACATGTCGACCGAACTTGAAGGTCTCCGTGCCAAACACCACGAGGATCTATTAAAGTTGGAGGCAGTCGAGCAGCGTGAGGCGGAGCTTCTTGTGGCTATCCAGCAAGCTCAGGAGAGTCACGCTGCTGAGCTTGCCGAGCTAAGGTCCGAACACGAGGAGGCTCTTCGTGCGAAGGGAGTCGAGGTTGAGGAATTAATCTTTCGCCTGAAAGACGAGCACGAGACATCTCTGGGTGCTCTGCGAGATCAACTGTCAGAGGCATCTGCAGCTCTGGAGAAGGCTCTCGAGGAGCATGAGAGTGCGTTTGGCAAGCTCCAGGCTGAACACGAGGAGGTCCTCCAGCGACATGCTCAAGAGGCCAAGGAGATTCTCGAGCGTACCGTCGAAGAGCATCAACACGCTATGGCCAAATCCAAGGCCGACCACGCAGAAGTCTTGAAGTCCAAAGACGAGCAAGTAGCTACCGACCTCCACCGCACCGAAGAGGAGTACTATAATGCGCTCACTAAACTTCGCAAGGACCATGCAGATGCTTTGCAAAGACAAGCTACCGAAGCCGCTGCAATGCTTGAGCGTTTGCGTGAGGATCACGCTAGCGAGCTTCGCATGTCTGAGAAAGCTCGCGAATGCTCCTTGTCAGAGTCGGAGTCATCTCGTGATTCAGCGCTCCGTGACCTTCAGGACGAGCATGCTGCTGCCATTGCAAGAAAGGAGGCCGCGTATGCAGAGGACGTGGAGAAACTCAAAACTGAACATGCGCGCCTCCTTTCGAACAAAGAGGAGGACTACAGAGCAAGGCGTGAGCATATGAAATCCGAGCATGCCACTGCCATGGCTGTCCTCAGGGAGGAGTCGGAAACTCAAGCGGAGCAGCTCACGAAGGCCCTGGCGCGTCTGGAAGAAGAAGCAGCTGCCACCCTTGTGAAATCGCGCGAGGAGCACGAGTCTGCCACTCGGGCTCTGATAGAACAGCATGCAGCGTCACTCCTACAGATCACTCGTGGTCACGAGGAGGAGACTTCTCTGATCAAGTCGTCCCATACCTCTGCACTCGACGACGCGGTTGCCAAGGCTCAGGACGAACACGCATCCCTCCTCACCTCTCATGCAGCAGCAATCACGAATCTCACAATTGAGCACCGGCTGTCACTCGCCGAAGTTCAAGCGTCCCTTATCGCCGCCCAAGAGAAGCACGCTTCCGACCTCGAAGAGTCTCGAACAGCGGGTGAGCGTATACTTGCCGAGGAACGGGAACGCCATGCTGCCACCGTTGCCGACCTTGAGCAGGGACACTCTAATGAGCGTGAAGCTCTCCGCAAAGAGCAAGATCTTCTCCGTCAAGAACTAGAATCCCACAAAGTCGCGATTAAGGATGCTCAGGAACAAAGTGAACGGGGATTGCTTGCAGAGAGGCAACGCTCACAGTCGGCAGAAATTGAGCTCGAAGAGAAGCACTCTGCTGAACGCACCACAATGCGCGAGGACTACGAAACGCTTATTCAAGAACTTGAGGCCCACAAAGCTGCCGTAAGCGACTTTGTGGTGGTACGTGCACAGCACGAGAGGACCGTGTCCGAACAGACGACTGCAATAGCATCCTTGGAGAAAAGTTTGGCTGGTGCACAATCAGAGAAAGTAGACCTTCAGACGCAGGTCAGCAAACTGATGGCTGAGCTGGAGAAGACCCGGTCAGAGCAGGCCACGTTCATCCAGGAAGCATCCAAGCGCGAGTCATTGGTTGACGAGCTTGACAGACATCGCTCCCTTATCGCTGAGATGCAGGAGAACCTTCAGCGCGTCAAGGACGAGAAAGATACCTTGCAAGTGGAGAGGAATAAGCAGGAGACTGCTATGCGCGACATGCAAATCCAGATTGCACGCACATCGGTAGCCCAGGAAACCTCGACACCACGGGCAACACCTGATCGCAACATCTCTTTTACTCGTCTCAACGGCATGGCCACCAAGCTTCCTCCCCCCACACCCCCACCATCCATGCCTCCACCACCAGCGCCAAAAACTCAGGACTCCCAGTTCAGTTTATCCACTCAATCTTCTGGTATGTCTTCGAAAGATTCCACCGAATCTTCTGCTACGTCAGTCGCCTCCGTACTTGCACCAAGCGGCCCTCAAGGGGACTCCAAGGCCATTGCCGCCAAGCTCGAGGACCAAGCGAAACATATCAATGAACAGGAGGTGATGATTAAAACACTCAACAAACAGTTGTCGCACTGTGAGAGTGATTTGGCTACTCACATGGATCTCGTGAGTACGTTGGAGACATCGCTGAGCGACTCAGAGAAGAATCGTATGTGTTTTTCCTGCTTACTGCAGTGTTTGATTTGACCATTTGTATTTGTCTCGCAGTCCGCAAAGCGCGCATGCAAGCGACGGAGCTCGCGAGGGAACGAGACTCAGTCAATTCCCAAATTGAGGGCCTTCGCAACGAGTTACAGGAAGCGCGCCGTGAGGTTGTTACTGTTCGGAAATCGATTGTGGAAGAGAAACAGTCCCTCGAATCGCGTCTTGACGAGGAACGACGTGCGAAGGAACGTGCTCGTGCGCAGCTCGACTCCCGGATGGAGGAGCTACAAAAACGGAAATCGAAGTTTGCATGTCTATAGCGTGCCTGTCCTGCATTCATGCCTGTGAGCTGTTGCGACTCATGCCTTGACGCTTTTATTGGACCTTATATGCCTGTCCTTTTTGCACCTTGCTTATTATACCAGTTTCGCGAGCTGCGAGATCAGTTTGCGTTTGTCTCTTGTGTCCTGATACCCCTTGGCTGTGGAGCTAGTTTATCGCGTCTACTATGGGTATCCTTAGTATGTTTGTCCGTACTGGCTACTACACTGTTATAATACGATACAGTTCGGATCTTTGCTAACGTCCCTTTCGTGTGCCGATTATGATTCGCTAGAAATTAATGTCGTGATCCGTGGCGATTATGTCGGCCGCTGTTCGCTCGTCAAATGCACAACGTGCCCTCCAGCATGGGAATTAAATACCCCACGCTGTTCATGATACCTGGACCAAGCAGCATTCGGATGCATGTCTACGAAGGTGCAAGAATCCAAGGTGTTTTGATGTTTTTGTGAATGTTTTAACAAAAGTTATGTGGAATAATTTTCCCCGCGGTCGTATTCCCCGCAAAATTTGAGGTGGAGAAATGTCGTAAGTGGTGTTACTGTCGGACCGGCTTATTATGTAGCATATATACCAAGCCTAGGCTAAGGCGGCCACTTAAATTCAATTTCTCAACCAACTTTGCTCCTCCCACCCTCCGTCTCTCACATCGTTATGTCCTTTAGCTTTTTTGCTCGTGCTGCTCCCGCCGTCCAGCGGTCAAGGGTCCTCACCCGCACCACCCAATCTTTCGTGAGATTCCAGAGTACCGCGCCAGCAAAACGGGTCCCCCGTGTCCTCCCTTCGTTCTCTCTCGAGGGAAAGGTGAGCTTTTGTTAGCCCTTTTGGGCTCGATCTAATTGTTTTCTAGGTCTGTCTAGTCACTGGCGCTGCCAGAGGTCTAGGTAACGAATTCTGTCGTGCATTTCTACAATCGTTCGTCTCATTGCACTTGTACTTCATTTGAACGCCACGAAGGAATAATTTCGATTCTAGGGGATGCACGGAACTGGCTATTGTTGATCTGAAGGAGAGTGAGGCGCAAGCTGCTGCTGCTGAACTGGTCTCGAACGCATGCGGTTCGTAGTCTGCTGTGCGCTGGCGACACTACTGAAGAGCATCAAGTTAACAGCGACATGACCCCGGAAGACTTCAACGTGATTGGTGTAGGATGTGACGTGTCCTCGGAATTATCTGTTCAGCGCGCATTTGAGCAGGTCATGGACACGTTCGGGCGGTTGGATTCGGTGGTTGCATCTGCAGGTGAGCACTTCCGTCTTCCGCAGTTTCCAGGAACCGCGGAATGATATATTGTGATGCACAGGAATTGTGGAGAACTATTCTGCATTTGAGTAAGTGGCTTTCGATACGTGTTGGAGCGCTCCTTTGACGACCGCACCACAGTTATCCATTCGACCGGATAAAGCGCTTGTATGACATCAACGTTCATGGAGCCTTCTTTACTGCGCGAGAAGCCGCTCGGAACATGATTCCTCAGGGAGGAGGCTCCATTGTTCTTGTTGCTAGCATGAGTGCATCGGTATGTTGATCTGCCAAGACGTCCCTCTGCGAAATGGCACTGACGATGTGTTTGTAGATCATCAACATTCCCCAGGTGAGTCATTGATGCCGGGATGCATTCATCAACAGGATCTGACCCTGCATCGGTCGGGGATAGCCGCAAACACCTTATAATGCTTCGAAAGCAGGTGCGTGCACAACCTATCGTCCCTGGAATCTCAAGGGGCACTGACGCGTTGTGGCTCTGATAGCGGTGCGCCACATGGCTTCAAGTTTGGGAGTTGAGTGGGCAAAGAAGGGTGTGCGAGTTAATACACTGAGGTGCGTGTTACGTTGACTGTGGCTATGTGTGGCTAACACGCGTCATGAAGTCCTGGTTACATGTTGACAAAGCTTACCAAAACCATACTTGCTCATGATCAGGATTTGAAGGTTGGTGCATGTTGTCATACTTGCTCGTTTGGAAGCTAATGGTGGTACAGAAAACCTGGGAAAGCTTGACGCCTATGGGCAAGGTAAGATCAATCAGCCTAATGAATTTGAACGTCGTACTGAGAATGAGTAGATGGGCGAACCAGAAGACTTGGCTGGTGCCATTGTATTCCTGGCCAGTGACGCGTCTAAATTCATGACTGGAGCAGAGGTTCGTGTGGATGGAGGCTACTGCGTTATTTAAGTCATTCTTGGATTTTCATGTGCCAAATGTTGGGAGTATGATCACATAGAGCTTAGTTTTTCACGTAAAGTAATTTGAGGCTTGTTCATAATACATTGCAATTGCACGGTTCTAGACGTTTCTAGATCGGAGCCTCGAGAAGGATGAGGAAACGGAGAGAATGACCAAAAGTGGGTTAACCGGCGGTATCGTAACCTCCCAAATGACATCATAGCAAGAAGGTATTTAGACTTTCCAGTTTCGCAAATTCCTGGGTTTTTCACCCCTTCTACCCTAACTCACGCTTTCAACCGGAGTCAAAATCCATGTCCTTAAGTTCACAACCCGCGAATATAACCCATACCCATTCTAACAACTCAGTACCCTCCTCGTCCTCAAACGTCCTCACCCCCACTTCCAATGCCCCGACCTCTACACCATCCACCTTTGAATTCACAAAGCGCAAACGCTGGGCAGATCTCCTGATACATGAACTGTCGGAGGCGATTATTTTTGTGCTCTCCAACGAGTGCAAGGTCTTATTTTGCTCAAGGGCCATCTCAGAATTGCTGGGTTGGCGAGATACAGAACTTATTGACAAGGATCTCGTCGACTTAGTCAACGGTAAACATGTTTGCTGCGTTCTCGTCGTGTTACACGCGTGTGCTCATTTGTCATTCATTTATCTCAGGCGAAGATAAGCATGCTTTCCGTGCGTCCTTTGAACAATCACTGCGCTCGCGCATGGAAATGTTGTCCTATGTTCGGTTCAAGTGCCAAAGCGAGTATGCCTCCCCCGCGAAGGAGGTTCTGTTCGAAGTCAAGGGTTATCCCCACTACATCGATGACGAACTATACGCCCGCTGCTTTTTCGCAGTGGCAAAACCGTATCCGAGTCGGAACACAGCAATGTAAGTGCATAAGCATGAATACATAAGTCGAATTTAGCGCGTTATTTTCGGCTGTCTGATGGAACTTACACCCAACTAGGTTAAACACTTTCCTTGAGCTCAAGATTGAAAATGAACGGCTGCAACAGCGTCTCGCAGATCTCAGAGTTCGGATGCCGCCAGCTTCTATTGCCCATACTGGTCAATCGATGCCTTCCATCTATTCTACCCCTTCCACTTCTCGTGCACCTGTCCAATCGGCGACCCTCCGCCCTGTTGGCGATTTAACCGCCACGTGTTATACCGCTCATCAGTCCAGCACGTCATTTGATGATTTATTGACACAAACAAATCATCATCAACCACGGGGTTTTACTGATCCTCCCAACGTGCTCACGTACGGCAGCTACGCTCTCACCGGCCCACCAGCCCAACAGCCGACAGAAGACAATTATGGTGACGATGCTGCCAGAAGGAAAAAGGTCGGTATCGCTATGGAACAAGTCTGTTCGGATGGGCAATTGACCTTATCGGCTAGATCCGCAAGATGCACGCCGCAGAGCAGTACGTTTGCGTAACATGCGGACGTACGGATTCCCCAGAGTGGCGCAAAGTCTGTCACTCGCATATTTTATCTTCCCTGATTGACTTGGCTAATATCTTCTCAGGGCCCGCAAGGGCCGAAAACCCTTTGCAACGCCTGTGGCTTGCGATGGGCAAAACAAGTACGCACTAAACAGGATGATGAACAGCCTAGCGCAGGACCTAGCACCTGAATCATTTTCCGCGCCATTCGGCACGGCACGCCTGCCAACATTCCGCCTGTCACGGATATATTTTCCTCATAATTGATGATGAGGGTGAGGGGCGTTATCTGGTCGCGTGCGGTCATCTTGAATGGCCGCCAAGTTGTTTTGGACGTCTTGGTACATGGCTCCGCCAGTTTTTCTACATAGAACCCTTTTTATATACACGGACACGCAATATGTATCTTAGACACTGTCACATGATTTTTATTCTTGGACAAACTCTTGGATATACCCTTGTGGGATCCCATTTAAAATTCTAATGAAGTTCAAGCCACGATGGGTCGCGGTAGGCCGCAATCCCCGTTGGCCGATAAGATTAAAAGTCCGCGAACCAAGGTTATTAGTCAGAAAAGAATTCGGCACTTCTCTGTGGAAAGCCCAACAATCCGTGCTCTGTCACATAATTGGGACACTGCACCATTAACAAGTTCTCTAAGTAGGTAATTTGCAAAGGCCCTCCGGGCCTTCCTTTTTCTGTCTAGGCACATGTTTTGGGTAGGATAACAAAAGGGGGGAACACTTACATCTCAGTCCCAGTGAAAAACGGTCCTTGCCATTTCGACGGCAAACGACGAAAATATTAGTTATATGTTGATAATATTGTGTTAACTACGCACATCAATTAATGTAAACACATGTAATCAACACTCGATCAATCTGATCGGCATAATCAAATGTTCAACGTCGTTCAACACACTGCTCACGCACTCACGCTGCTCGCGCACGATTGATCTCGATCAACTGTGGTTCAAAGTTCTTGTAAGTGCCTCATCCTGTTGTAAACTAGCAGTGTTGTAATCTGACGTGTTTTTAAGCCACGTCGAGCATGCCAGAGCCTCAAGAACATTGGTGCAACTGCCAATACTATTGTCATGGTGTTCGCACAAAGCTCGGTTCTCGTGCTACGTGGTTCCGCCACCTACAGCGTGCTCCAAACGAGGAAGAAAGGGCTGCAATTCGAGCAGCAGGTCTGTCAGACACGTTCAGAACAACTAGTGCTGGGCCTGCGGGTCCCTCATCAACGCGGGACAATGATTCTGACGAGGAATGACCTCAGAAACGTGCCCGTGAGGACAATGGTAAGAATATTCACTCTCGAAGTTCAAATCACTGATCGACAATGATTCAATCTTTAGATGAGCTTCCATTAGCTGATAATGACGATATTGTCGACCATGCTATTGATGCTCTGCACGAGCATGTGTATGAACTGCCTGATGCTCCCCTTCCTGATCGCGATCCTCAGAATGAGCCCGAAAATCCACGGCAGGACCCTCTGCAAGATGTTCGCCAATGTTCACCCCCGCCAGACGTTGACGGTGATGCCAAGGAAATTCCTTGGCATAATCCCCTCAATGATCTTGATGTCGACGACCTCTTTCGATCTGCGCGGCTTCCCAACCTCCAACGTGACATGTCCTTCATATGCTCACTACGGAGCGCAACACTCGATGACGGGGTTGGTTTGAAAGGAGAGGATCTCCAATGCTTGCAGAATCCACCTAGGTTCCCATGTCAGATAGACAACCCGTGCGAAGAACTTGCAATATCATTATTCTTAGCCCTCCAACACTCGTCTGAAGTCGCATATGACAATATTCGAAACACTGTTCAAAAGCGCTACCCTGACTCAGAGGTTCCTAGTCTATACCGAGTGAAGAAGCTTATTCATGAGCTTACGGGTATCTCCTCCATTGTCGACCACCGATGCATCAACTCTTGTGTAGCTTTTGTCGGCCCTTATGCAGGTCTAGAAACGTGTCCCACGTGTGGTGAACTGCGTTATGACCAGAAAAAACTGGCACGCAGCCATGGACGCAAGAAAGTCCCTTGTGCTGTTTTTCAAACTATTCCAATCGGGCCCCAGCTTCAGGTGTTGTGGTGCGAACGAGGCAGTGCGCAACATATGAGCTATAGAAACGAGAGGACGCAGCAAATTTTTGAGGAGATTAGACAGAACGAGGGTTATGTTGATGCATACGAGGACATTCTCACTGGGAGTGCATACCTTGACGCCGTCAGGCAAGGTAGAATCAAACCAGAAGACATGGTACTTATGATCTCCATCGACGGTGCTCAACTCTTCGAAAGCAAAATGTCAGACTGTTGGGTTTACATATGGATTATCGTCGATCACTCCCCCGACCGCCGCTACAAAAAACAACACGTGCTTCCAGGAGGTGTTATCCCTGGTCCAAATAAGCCGAAAGACATTCAGTCGTTCTTATACCCAGGCTTTCACCACCTTGCTGCGATTCAGAGGGAGGGTCTGTCTATTTGGGACGCTTGGCGTGACGTAGTGTTCATATCCCATCCATTCCTTTTTCTAGCCCTCGCGGATGGACCAGGCCTCATCTGCATGAGTAGCCTTGTTGGACACACAGGCAAAAATGGTTGCCGCATGTACTGTGGTCTACAAGGGCGCCGAAAGCCGCACGCTTCTCAATATTACCCTGTCTTACTGAAACCAAACAATTATACTGTTGTCGGCTGCACACACGAAGACATCAATGTTCGTGACCTTACCAGTGGTACCTCCGCGCTGTACGTCAGGAACCTGCGCACCCTCATGGCGTCCCAAAATCAAGCACAGTACGAATGGAACCGCTTAATGACCGGAATTGTGGGACCCAGCATTCTCCTTGGACTAGATGTTGACCATATTCTTGGTGTACCGGAGTGTTTTTCCTCCAAGATCATGCATTTTTCGGGTGCTAACATGGCGTCGCTTTTTACGGATATTTGGTGTGGTGTTGCAGACTGTCATGCTGTTACAGATTCTGTTGCAGATTGGGACTGGGCCGTTCTCGTTCGCGATATATGGGAAGCTCACGGAAAAGCTGTTGCGGCTACTCACACTCACCTCCCTGGTTCTTTTGATGTCCCCCCTCGAAATCCTGCCGAGAAAATGCACTCGTTCTACAAAGCACGCGAGTTCATCACTTGGCTCTTTGGTATTGGTCCTGGACTCCTCTATGGTATCCTTCCTCCCATGTGCTTCCAACACTACTGCAAGTTCGTACGAGGCCTTCGCATCATGAGCCAGTATCGCATCACGACTGCGGAGATGCTAGAAGCTTGTATTTGCTTTTCCGAGTGGGAGGAGGAATTTGAGAGAATATACTATCAGTGCCGTGTCGATCGAATTCACTTTGTTCGTCCATGTGTTCATCTCGCAAACCATTTAGCTGCAGAGGGGACTCGTGTTGGTGCCCCTTGTTGTTCATCTCAATGGACTCTCGAGCGAACTATTGGCGACATTGAATTTGACTTGCGTCAACCCTCTAACGCAATGTCCAACTTTACGGAGATATGTGTAACGAGGTGTCGAGTCAATGCTCTGAAGGCTATGCTCCCGCAATTTCAAACTAGTGATGCCCTGCATCCCCGGGGATCTTTTGATGTTGGCAATGGTTATGTACTCCTGTGAGCACGCGACCGGAAACCTAGACGTATGCCCGTTGCGCAAGCCACCCTCATCTCGAATTTCCTTGGGCGACCTGCACCTCCAATCAGACGCTGGTCACGACTCCGCCTCCCACATGGTCAGATTGCTCGTTCAGCATGGAAAGAAACTGAATCATCTGCTGAGTTTATACAAATTTCGCGCAATGTCAAGGTAAATTTGTCATATATTGATTCGCAGTCACATGAACTTACCGCACTCATAGTTCCGTCGCAACGATGTTGATGAATTCACTGAAGTCTTGTACTTCACACAGTTAGCTGTTGAAGCTGTTGCCGATGAGGACGACAATGACAATGAGGACGACAACGAGGATGACGAAGATGATGAGATTCCCAAACTCACATGGGCAAATGTCGCTATGATATCTGTCTATTCGCGCCCAGACCAGCAGCTCCTTGATTTGTCGCATGGAACTGTGTGGTCGTGTACTCACGACAAAGAACTTCAACTTATTGATGTCAGAATGATAACCGCTGTCATTGCGATGATTCCCCATCGTCCCACTTTGCCATCTGGTGTTACGGAAGATAGGTATTTTATGGTTGAGAAAACTGGACTTGATGTCACGTTAACGGGAGTCGAGGTTGAAGAGGATGATCAAGAGGAGCAAGAGGATCAATAATATTAATAAAGAATGAATACATCATGTATTTTCGAGTCGATGTACATGCGAGGCAACAGCAGTCAATACCAGTCCACTTTCTAGCCCCTCGAAGGCCCAGCGTTGCCTGTACATGCGAGGCAACAACAGTCGATACCCGTGCGTCTAGTCCTCTTTCTAGCCCCTTGATGCCCATTGGATTTGTCGTTGCTGCCAGATGCTCCACGAGGACGCTTGCCTAGGACCCGTTCGAACTTCGGTGTGTTGGACCTATTAGTTTTGTTGTTGTCCACAGGGGTTTCGGCCTGTTCACCGTCCATATCAAAGTCTACCAGGTTTGCGATGGCTTCGTCGAGCAGGTATTCGTCAGTTGGACTGGGAGAGCGAGAACGCTGAGCAGCACCTGTAAGGGAGTAGAATATATTTATATCGTGATAGGATAGATAATTGTAGGCACTCACCGCGAGATATTGTGGCCGCAGGACTGCGCACGGTCACCTGCTTGCCAGTGATTATCAAACTCTGCAGCAGCGGCTCTGTGGCCTTCTCGGCGTCAAAGATAATTGATAATAAAATATATCACACATTCTTACCATGGAACTCAGGAGGCCGACTGGTGTTGCAGCCATACCAGTAGATAAATTAGTAGAAAACACGTGAAAGACTTGTCAGTGATTTAGACGCGTCGCTGAAGTGATGAATTGGACAAAGATACAAATCGCTGAGTTTTAAAATCACACATTCCGATAATGCTATATCAAGTCTATTGCATCATATCTCTTCCTTGAACGACTACCATGTCCACCGATTATTCCTTTCCAAGTCCCTTCCAGCAGCATCAGACTCCTCGTTTGCAGAACAACCTTAACCCTTTTTTAGATACTCCCAGACAGTCTGACTCCCACTCGTGGAATGATCCGTCTGGCAGCTCGGTGAGTACTTTCATCTATATCTACTGTTTGCTGAATTATCATAATAGAATGCATATACGCGCTCAAATTATCGCATACAGTCCTTAGAATGCGAAATACAGCGCTTGAAGGTCGAGAATATCTCACTTACTGCTACACGCGACACTTATGAGTATATAAATATGATTTATATGAGTATATGCGCGTTTTTGCTGACAATTCTGCAGAGCAGCCTTCAACACCCTCGCCACAACAATTTTATCAGAAGTCCCGCCCATTTCGTCTTTTACAGGGCTAAACATCGACGGTGGTGTCAAATTCAAATCTTCTGGCATTGTCCCTGCCATGAAATCACGACTCCAGCCACTCAACCGACACGACTACCCGAAGACTCAATTTTGGACTGAAGACATGTATACCGAATGGTCGAAGACCCCTGCGTTTCAATGGACCCACGAGAATTGTACTGCTTGCCCTTTTCCGTTCCTCGAAGATACCGACAGCAAACTTGTTACAAAGGCCGAGGCATCCAACATCCTCAAAATGTTGTGAAATGTCTGGCACACACTGCTCAACAACAACCGTGCACCTGATACGTGGGGTCGTGCAGGGGCCGAGGTATTGGACGATGTTGCAGATGAGATGGCGAGGCATCACCCGATTCTTGCCCTTTGCAGCAATGGATGGAAGGTCCAGGCTATCGCTACTGAACGCTATCCCTCGTGGGCATCAACACACATCAAGAAGAGGAAGAAGTCTTCCGATGCCGTTGTAGTAAGTATTTCATCTTTTCATCTTGCTCTACTAACTTAGTCATGGTCATAGTCCTCTGGTACGAAGCAAAAAATTACGAAGCTTAGTGATGCGCCATCTGAGTCACCTGACGACTCGAGCCCTCCATCCGATCACTTAGCGAAACGGTCAAAGGTCGACGAAACAGATGTGATGGCACCACTGGCAACACTTGACCCGACTGTCAGTGCGACCGTGGCTACCACCCTACTGACAAGTCCCACAGATTCAGATCAATCTTCATCCGAGTCCGAACGTTTGCCAACCGCATCTGAATGTGCGCGTGCCACCAGTCCTCCAGCAGAAGTTATCTTACAGGATACTCAGAACACTCTTTATTCAACCGTGTGTTTCCTTCATCATTGTTCATGAAGATTTTCTGACTCGAATGAAGGCTTCTCTTCCTCAGATAAAGAATTCGCTGTGAGTTCTCCTTGACTATAACTGGTATATCATTGAATCTATCATCTATAGTGCAAAACTTGTACTTTCTAAAAAACCCAACCCCCTTGAGCCACCCTCGACCCTCGCACCCCCCATGAGCGATTCCATGAACTATCCCACTCCGCAAAACCCCGATCCAACTGTGCTGCCGGTCTTGCCACCAATGGCACCAGCCACGGATACCGTGTTACCAACGCCCGCTGCCGCTGGTACAACGGATGACACTTCTGACATAGTGACGACCAAGAAATTCCGGCCATCGGCAACAAAAAACAGAAGGTACTAGTACCACGTCTGATTATTCTCGATACACTCACTGATTGTTTTATGGCACTGTCTAGAAACCTCTAGGAGCTACTACAATATACTAGAATCTACGCTACGCAAACACGCTCGATTCTGCAATATCTCGCTCGATGCGAGTCGCTGAAAATATCATATAAGTCTCATCCGTCTCCCCCAAATCAACACAAATATTGTCGCAATATTTCAGTCGTTTTCCGTCGATACGGCTAGGACCGTTTCTCACTGGGTCTCAGTCTTGGTAGGATGACTGAGATGTTTGCACCTATTACTCCCATTGCAGTTTGAGAAATCAGCGAACACGTGAGCTAGATAACTCAAACCAGGGCTTACTAATCGAGGAAGCACACCCAAGATGGGATGCACGTCTTATCGCGTCCTTTCGCATCTTGTCTCCTGACCATGTCCAGCACTTACTCAATTACCGTTTTCAATTTGAGAATTTGAACGCATACATCGCTCCTAATCACTTAATTTTACACACTTTACCTATAATGACTGAATCATTGAATTCTGGCCCTCCTGCTGGCGCTGGTGGGAAAAACACTGACATGTTTGACCCATCCGGGGATATAGGCCGGACTACAGACAGCGAGGTGGCTCGTCTCACTATGATTATCAGCCAAAAGAACATTCATCGCACCATCAATATGAATGACCCACAAGACGTAATGGAAAAGAACCTTCTCTGGTGATCAGAGGCGAGCGGGGACGCGAGAGAGCGGGAAAACTAGATAGAATTCTATGGAACGAGTTAGCCGCTTGGTATAATGTAGGGGGAACATAAGCTTACATCTCAGTCTCTGTGGGATGACTGAGATGCTAGGATGAATAGACTCGTGAATTTAAGTAAACTAGCATAGTGATGGAAAATATATCGTACTCCTTACGACCTTGACACTTCATACGATCGACGTCAAACGTCGTTGTGCTCCTGTGCTCGCAATGTCTCAGTGTGACGTTTACGACGTCACCACTCCGGCATTCGATCCAGAGTCCAATACCTTCATCGTTCCGAAAGGAATGCTGCAAGGGAGGAATTGCGCATGGACCCTAATTTCATAGAAATACCATCAGAAGACGAAGACTTTCTAGAAGAGCCTATGTCACAGCCCTCAATGCCCTTCGGCCAGATGGCGTTGGGAAGGAAGATGATGATGGCAGCAGCTTACCTGAAGACGTTGACCCCATTGATGAGAAAGATCGTTGGCAGGATTGTGGTTGAAGACGAGGAGAAGGCAGCACCCTCTGCGGTTGACAACCCCATTGTTGCGGAGGAAAAGATCTTTACCAGCGCTAACACAATCTTAGCTCAAGAGACCAAAGAACTCTTTGAGATGATCCTGAGGCCTCTACTCAACCTGGCTAAAGCCAAAGTACACATCCTTCTCACTTTGCTCACTAATGCAGCCTTGTGCAGGATGCACGAGGACCCGTCTTGTGTCAAACTCAAGAAGGATTTAGTTCTGAACGATCCCAAGATGATCGTGATGGATACTTCGAGTGGATTCCCGGCGGAGATGACTCTCACCACAGACATTTTCTTCGAGGCAACTTCCAACTTACTAGACCTTCTGAAGATCATTGTGGACAACGACACCATAACCAGGTTCACAAACCATCACATGTTCTGTATGTCCCAAGACGAGTACACATCTAACTTCCCAGCTGTCTTGAGATTCGATGTTGAAACCCGCAGGAGGTTCTTCAACACCTCTGTGTTCCTTGATACAGGCACATATAAGGAGAGGTGGAGTGAGGTAAAGATTGACTGCAGGATAGATCATGACCGGGACCATGGAAACAACGGAGGGGGACACTACAACCCTTACCCTCAATGCAAACCTGACAGGTCTTCTGGAGCGGGTCAATCAAATGATGGGAAGCCCTTTTGGAGGGGCAAAGGAGAAACATCGACCGACCACCTCCTTTGCGTCGTCTGCAGTGGGACAAGACACAAGTCCAGTGGGTGCACCCACACCCAAACAATCAAAGGAACAGCGCCCTTCTGGATGTCTCAGGACAACAGAATCATCCTCAAGGCCACAAAAGAGAGTGTATGCATACCCTTCAACCTTGGCTGATGCCCCGCATGCCATGGGCCAGAAGTTCTGCACATCTGTTCCCAGTGTGGAAGCTCATCACATGGGATCACTTCCAAGTTGTGTTAAAGACATCTTCCATCACATTATCACCCCTTACATGGTGAGCACGTTCGACTCATTCTTGCAGAGATTCGACCTTATGAAAAAATATCCAAATCTTACATTCAACTTGCATCACAGCTTTCCCATTGGGGATATGCCCCCACTCTCACGAACCTACACGCCTGAGAATCATAAATCTGCGACAGATCACCCAGACGTTATCAGACAGTATTGCATGGACAAAGTGAAGGTTGGGTGGATGTCAGGCCCCTTTACCAAGGAAGAAACACAGCGCATTCTGGGAGGCCACTTCACAACCTCACCACTCAGATTAGTAGAGAAGTCGGGGGAACCTGGGAAGTTCTGAGTGGTTCGAGACTTGTCATACGAGAACGAAGACGGGTACTCTGTCAATAGTCATCTTGATGCAGATGAATTCCCAACTGGGTTGGGAACTGCGGCCCAGATAGCTGAAATAGTAAGTCAAAAATTTCTTATATCGTCCTCAAACCCACACTATGGTGGGGTTCATGGGTTTGGGTTGTGCGACATCACACCCTTTGAGCACATTGGCGCGTTATGACAATGGGCATGTGATGCTGTTGGTCTTGTCTACGGCGTGTAACACCTAGATACATGCACGACGGTGATGGGTTGTCACACCCTGGTTTTATAGTGGGTTGTTGCACTTGATATTCACATACATCGCAGATGCTGATCATGGACTACTCTAGGTGGCGACAGCACCTCCGGGAGCACAGGCTGCCATGCTAGACATAGAGGCGGCATGCAGGACCATTCCTGTATGGCCACTGCACAAGTGTTTCTTGGCGGTAGCGGTCAGAGACAAATTCTTCGTCAACCATGTCTTCCCATTCAGGTTCACTACAGCCAGGGGAGTCCAAGGGGGTGTCGCAGATGCCACGGTATATATACTACATAATCTGGAGCTCGGACCCATAAAGAAATGGGTCGACGACCATACCTTTTTCCGCTTCACATGCGGCAGGGGTGAGCTTCTGCCAGACAGGTCTCTGTCACCATACCATGATGCGCACGATCTCGACAATGTGTACAACCACTCACTCCCACTCAGTATACCATGGCATCCAGTGAAATGTTGTGACTTCACAGTCATTTTCATCTACCTTGGGTTCATGTGGAATCTTGTCACTCATACCATTGAGTTGCCAGACGACAAGCACAAAAAATACCGTAGGAAGCTCACTGCCATCGTCGAGGATGGGGGCCATTTATCTTGCAAAGATGCAATGAGCATAAATGGCACATTATCACATGCTTCCTTCATTACAGTGGCTCAAAAAAGTGTCCCAATGTTTGTGCAGTTTCATGTAATTGCATTATGGCGAGCCAGGGCGTGTGAATCTGATGTGGCAGTGCAGACATATTTGGTAGTAATACCTTCTGGCTCGAATCTGAGCTATGTGGCGTGGGAAACGGAGCTTACAGAGCGGAGATATGATAATTCTACAATTGTGACTCATTGGGACACTTTTTTGACTTTGAGTTTAACAACTGCAATATTTATGATTCTGATGTTTGATGCTTCCTCCCTTGACTTTAATCATTGCTACTAGTCTCATAAATATATTTTCCATCAATCCTATACATTTCTGCTTAAAAACATTCCCGTACTCTTCTCCACATCTCTTCTATAGCTCAATAGCCCCTGTAGATGGTTTTGGTGTTTTCAACAATGTCCAATAGGGTTTATGGTCATGAAATTTGTTGTTCATGATAACAAAGTAATACTATGGCCTTCAAATGATCTTGTGACTTACTTTGAGGTATATTTGATGTCATTATTCTCTATTAGGATAATTCCTTCTTAAATAATATACACCTCCTAGGTGTTTCTGAGTAGATATCATTCTAAAATGAAGTATATCACTCTATACATATCTGCCCATCTACCCTATACCAAGTTCACTTCCTTCTACTGCATACAGTCTTCATACCATCGGATTATCCTCTATCAACTTATGTATTTTATATGCTTGTTTTACTTAAAGTCATCTCTCTTTAATTTCTTGTATACATATGATCATATATGATTGGTTTTCATCTCATATTACAAGGCAACATACTCCTAGCCAAAACAATCCA